TAAATGGGAATGTTAATTAAATGACACTTTTTCCATTGACTTCTTTTACAATTATGAATAAAAAGAGTGGAGGTTTGTGTCTTTTTTGTAATAAGCATTAAATGAGAAAGAAGAGTCATTTCATGATAAACATTAAATGGGAAAAAAATTGCATATTTATCTTTGCTCCTTGTATTATTCAAACCATAGAATTAGGGCATTTTAGTCTAGTGAAAATTTCATTAGCCAACCACATTTATTCAAACTTTTATAGATAGTACATGTATAGATGAGTAACCGGTGAATACGAGAAAAAGTACCTGGTCCTATATAAGATAATAGAGTTAAGGGCATCTACCATCATTTTACAAAAGTTCTTAAGACCCACTAAAAGCTAAAGAGATAAAAGCATTGTTTGAGTTATGGTTGAGTTGGCCCCCGGGTGCCATGTGTCATCTCCGCGGTCGTCTTATCGCTTCGGCCACGTCGGCACCGTGTAAGATGGATAAGCACAACCAAGAAAGGAGAACTCCGTATGGGTAAGGAGGATAGCTCCACTGGGGATTAGGAGTTATCCCGAAGACCTCAACGGACAACCTCATCCTGACAACCCCGGAAGCCTCATCCGAACAGGACACGAATCCTTGGATATAAGTAGGTTACCCCTACTCGAACCAACATGTTTTTCTCAACTGCTTGGCTCGACCACCCATTGTTGTTGATTGACTTGAGAGTCGCAGTGCCTACCCAGGGAACAACTCCTCAAGCCTCCGACTACTTTCTTGTTTCAGATCTTGGTGCGCGGCTTCGTACTTCCACCTCGGCTTCGCCAATTGGCAGGATTATCTAACCGCGATCTTGTTTCGGGACACCTTGGATCAGACAGCATCAAATTGGTGCCATCTGTGAGAATCGCACAAAAAGCCATTCCAAAATCTATCTCTCTGTGCAATCAAGAACCATGCCAAGAAACGCATCCGACCGCTCTACAGGCTGATCCCCATCTCGGGGATCTTGCTCTCACCGCCTCTACACCATGAGCCTCAACAACAAACCACGGTTGACCCCTCCCAGTTCTAGGCGATGCAACAGAAGGTTGACCAGATCATCGTGATGATGCAAACACTGGGGCAAACAACGCAACCTCCTCAGACCATCCCCCTTCCTGTCCAGACACTTAACACGACCGATCCTCGCCCCAAGGACCCCAAAAAGCCCCACTCGGACAAGCATAGGGCATGGTCTGACCAAGAAAGGCAGTAGTCATCAAGAAGATCGGATTCTCTAATCCGATCTCATGTACGTGATGACCGCAGCAAGACACACTGCTCTGCCCGAGTTTCGACGAAAGAAAGGCTCGGCCAACATCCGAAACAGCGGCCAGTCTCCACTACCAAATCCAGCTCGACCAAAGACCACCCCATGATGCCAAAGAAAGAAAAGGACCATGCATGCGGCCCCAGACAATAGGGATGCGGAGATCAGGGTGGAATGCAACCAAACTGACAGAAGCGTGACTCCTCCTACAGTCCGACCCACGGAACCTAACAACCAGCCTGCCAAGGAGCTAGTCTTCACCCAAGACATCATGGACGAGCTTCCCCAGCTAGCTGGCAACCTCTGCACTTTGAGAAATAAGACGGAGCCATAGACCCCAACGACCACATCAAAGGTTTCAAGGCCCTGATGATGTTGCACAGTTCGTCTGAAGGATTGATGTGTAAAGCCTTCGTCGCTACCCTCAAGGGAGTTTCCCAGATGTGGTACTCACCCCTTCCCCCTGCGCTCTATCTTCTCTTGGGAACAGTTGGAGAGCCAATTCCTAGTGCAGTTCACGGCCAGCCAACGGCATTGGAAGACTTTGGCCATCCTCATGCAAGTGCAATAGAAGAAGGGAGAGAGCCTCAAAGAATACTTGGCAAGGTTTAATGTTGAGGCCCTACAAGTTCGCACCCTGAACCAATCTATGGTAGTTATAGCCATCATTTAGGGTTTGCACCCCTCCGCTTTCAGCTTCTCATTATCAAAGAACCCTCCTCAGACCATAGCTAGGGGCGCTCACGGTTCGGTTAATCGAACCATGGGATGGTTTTCTGGACTGAACCGATTTGTTTAGTTTTTACATTTAACTGAACCGAAACCGAACCGGTGCAACTGGTTAATCATGGTTTAGTTTTTGATGCAGATCTGCGACCACAACTACATCAGGTGGCCCGAGAAGATGAAGTCTCAAAACAACAAGAAAAGTAAAGATAATTATTGTGACTTCCATCAGGACCACGACCACGAGACAGACAATTGTCGTGATCTGCGCCAACACCTTGAGGACCTGATCATGTGCGGATACCTAGGAGGATTCATCGACATCAAGGAACACAAGCCGAAGGAAGAACCGCACTAGACAGATAGACCTCTCGCCCGGGCTCCCTCGGTCGGGGTTATTGCAGTGATCTCAGGAGGGATGGTCTCCGGGGGAAGTAGCTTGGGTTGCAAGGCATACAGGCGACTACTTGAGATCGATGATAGGGAGTAGAAAAGAAGGCGGCAGGATGATTCAATCACCTTCACAAAAGATGACCTCAGGGGGGTCCAGACCCCGCACGATGACGCCCTTGTGATAACTGCCAAGGTGGCCAACTTCAAAGTTCAACGCATCCAAGTGGATATGGGAAGCTCGGCCAACATCCTCTTCAAGGAAGCCTTCGAACAACTCGGCATCGGCAAGGAACGTCTCACCCCGGTCAACACTCCCTTTGTAAGCTTCTCCAGAGAGTCCCTCATGCCCGAAGGGAAGATCACCTTGCCTCTTCTAATCAGAGATGGTGACATCACCACCATGGCGATGGTCGACTTCGTCATCGTTTGGGTTCTCTCACCCTACAGCGCCATCCTCGGCCGACCTACCTTAAATGCTCTGTGGGCCTTGGTTTCCACTTACCACTTGGCAATTAAATTCTCCACCCCATATGGAATAGGTGTGGCACATGGAGACCAGAGAGCCACATGACAATGTTTCTTGACGGCCTAGGGGAAGGCCCCATGTTGCGGAGACACTGACAACGAAGAACATAGACCTACGAGACAAGCTGAAGGCACAACGCGACCAGTCCATCGAAGACCTCATACAGGTGCCGCTCTCCGATGAAAACCCCGAGAAGATGGTCCAAGTCAAATATCTCCTAGAAGATTGTCTTCGGGAAGACCTTATACAATTGCTGAAGAACAACATCGATGTGTTCACTTGGTCGGTAGCAGACATGCCAGGGATCGACCCCAAGGTCATCACTCACCACTTGAACGCTGACTCGTGCTACCGACCCATCAAGCAGAAGAAGAGGAGCTTCACCTCAGAATAGTCGTAGGTGATCAATGAAGAAGTCTGGAAGCTACTCTACACTGGCTTCATCCGAGAAGTCAAGTATCTGGATTGGCTGGCGAACGTAGTGATGGTGAAGAAGGCCAACGAAAAGTGGAGGATTTGCATCAATTTCACTGACCTGAACAAAGTCTGTCGCAAAGACAGCTTCCCCCTACTGAGGATCGACCAGCTCATCAACGCATTGGTAGGGCACGAACTCCTGAGCTTCATGGATGCACTCTCAAGCTACAACCAAATCTAGATGCATCCGGACGACTAGGAGAAGACAACCTTCATCACTAACCGAGGACTTTACTGCTACAAAGTAGGGGTGTTCACGGGTTGGGTTGGGTTGGTTTATTGGTGTTTTCCCAATCGACCCGACCTGGTCGGGTTACCTGAGGTGGAAACCGAAACTGACCCACTGATAGGCCAAACCGACCTGGTCGCCAAAGGTTTCACTCAAAGGGAAGGCATTGATTCTAAAGAGACATTTTCTCCGGTTTCTTCGAAGGACTCCGGTTTCTTCGAAAGATATAAGGCATTGATTGTAGAATCTAAACAATCTATTGCTATTGTCGAACAATACAAAGGTCCTATTCCACCAGAAATCAGGAAGTTGTGCAATTTGAGTTTCTTAGATCTCAGTTCGAATAGTTTGCGGGGTCATATCGTCGGAGATATCTGGTTGCCAGAACCTAAGTCAAGGAGTTGATAGAAGGAGAATTGAATCGAAATCTTGGATCGCTGATGTCGCTTAGCAAATTCATCCTTCGAAAGAACCAATTTTCAGGTTCAATCCCATCACAACTCGGCTCGTGTGCGAAACTACAACTCCTTGACTTGGGTAGAAACCAATTCATAGGAGAGATTTCACCGAGTCTGGGCAAAATTCCGACTCTAGAGATAACTCTAAATCTTAGCTGGAATGAGCTTTCTGGCAAGATCCCAGAGAAGCTCTTGTTAGGTTTTAATCTCTGTTAAGTGGGCTTACATATTCAGTGAAACGATTGCATTGATGGGCTATTTTGTAAGTGGGCTAAATCAAGTGATTCGTTTATGCAAAGCCCGTAGACTTTAACAAGAAGGTATGGGGCTTAATGAGTGGATACCACATTTTGGCCCATATAGGCTTAATGGGATCCTATTAGGTCAAAATATAAAGGCTCCTAGGTTATGGTTCCCAATATGTTAAATCATCCAGCCGCCCTCCTTGTTCTACCCCATTAGAGTAAAAGAGCTGAGAAAACCTAAGGAAGAAGGAACGATTTAACTGAGGAAAACCACCCCTATCGATCAAACATCCGTTCATCACTCATTCCGCAAGGGTTCGACTGCTGCGATGGATACAGGTATTTACATTCAAACCTCCTTGATAACTGCAGCATGATATATTTGGGGTGCAACGTGGCTTCTTGTTCTTCGTATATTGTTTGGTATTGGTATGTTTCTACAAGAGTATGATTCTACAACTTTAGGATTGGTATGTTTTTCTTTTACAGCTCTCCTTATTAGATAAGCTCGGAATCTACCGTGCTTTGGTTCCAGTGGAGGGTCATTCGGAGAACATTTCCGGAGAGCAGAGCTGAAAGAATCAGCATGTAGCTATCGGATGCTCACCCAAATGGATGTCTTGAGTTTTTTGAGGATGCACAGCTCTAAGATGGGGAATATCTTATCACGCAGTGTTGGGGAATTGAAGGTCATTGCTGAAATGTTTTTGCTGTAACTAACCGGGCAAAAGTCATAGAAGATATTAAATGCATGAGGACTGACTCCCTTAATGCTGTTCCAATTGTTGAAAATTCAGATGCTACTGAAGAATATCACACCCAGCTTATCGATGCATGTCTTCTCAAGCTGCTTCTTATATTAAGTTCTGCTTCACGTTGTTCTACTTCTCCAGCACTTACTTGCCATTTGCCTGTATAACTGTATTGCAGGGAAAAGGTAGGAAACTCATAGGAACGTTCTCTGCAAGCGACCTGAGGGGATGCCCAATTGCTTTATTGCAGTCATGGCTGTCTATTGGTGTTATAGAGTTCATAGAGCATATATCAATAGCCCCCAGTAATCTTGCGGGTGATTTAAGCCATTCAGCAAGAGAACTGGTAACTTGCTACGCCAATTCAAGCCTTTCTGAAGTCATTAACAAGGTTGTTGGTGCATATTTGCACCGAGTGTGGGTTGTAGACCAACAGGGTTTGCTTACAGGAGTTGTATCACTGACAGATATGATTCGAGTGATAAGGGAGTCACTGTTGTCCGAATTTGGAGCGACAGGAGTGTCTGTACATGTATATACTGACTCCTGAGTAGGTTGTGAATTGTCTGGAATTTCATGTTTCTCAGGCAAGTCTGGAAGTAAGGAATGCAGCGCAGTAAAAATTTTCAGAGTTATATAATGGGACGATGTTCAATTGTAGTATTTTGAAGTTAAAAACAAACTCTTCATCTTCCATCTGCTGCACATTCTGACATGTATGGATTCCAGTTTAAACCTTCAGCTGCTCCAAATAGAAAGTTGGTCTAATTGTCTAGCATAAGTTAGACCCAAATTCTAATTGGACAGTCTTGATTCCCACATGCATGGGATTTGGTCTTGATTTCTTATCTGGGTTCTCATGCATGGGATTTGGGCTTGATTTCTTATTTGGGTTCTCTTGATTTCAACTTCTGGACCACCCTTTGCTTGCCTATAGTCTCAAGACAAACTACAACTGTAGAAGAACACAAAAATAAAGAAAGAACTATATAAAGGGAATTTGGACTTTGACATTTTCACGATTTAAAAGAAAAAAATTGGCTGAGTGATTCCAATCAGGACAAAGACCGGAGAGCAGAGGAGAAAAAAACTCACAGACCTCCGCCGTTCGGTATTTGCAGCGACCGCCGTTGGTGGCAATGACAATGGCAGCGTCGAGCCATCGATGGATGGCACTCCTCTCTTCTCTTTCGACAGATGGGGCGAGTGTCCGAGAGGGATTGAGTTAAGTTAAAAACAGGGATAAAAATGTAATTTCGTATTGGGGTATAATGGGCATTTTACCTTTTCTGTCCATGTTTAACGATTAAGGGTACACTTAGTCAATTGTCAAAAACAGTAAGAGTACATTTAGTCAAACAGTAAGGTAGAGTTAGTCAATTAGCTAAACCTTAAGGGTAGTTTAAGAAACTTACCCTTATTAATAATTCAATATTTTTACAAAATTCATCATGAAATTTGTAGTAACAATATAAATTATAATTTTATGAACTATTCAATTTAAAGGTTATTCAAATAATAAAAATTTAACATTAAAAAATAACAATATTTAAACATTTCAACAACAAAAAATCTTAAATAGTAAACATTAAAAATAGCTAAATAATATGACAAAATATTTAATATTGCGTAATAACATTAAAATAAATAAAATTCAAATAATAAAATTTTTAAAATTTTTTACATATTATTTAAATATTTAAATATGACAAAATTTTAAATAGTTAAAATAACGAAATTATGTAATAAATTTAAAATAAATCTTAAAAGTAGAAAATTAATTATAATAGAATTCATAATAATAATATTTTAATATTTTACAAAATTAATAACGAATTATGTAATAATAGTACAATTATAATTTTATGAATTATTAAATTCAATAAATAATTAATATTTTAAGAATTTAAATAATAATATTATTTCAATAACTAAATAATATTGTAAATAACTAATTTCACTTATATCAATTAATAATTATAGAAAATAAGTATCAACAAAATTATATTTATTAGTAATAATTT